CCTTCTGTTATCACATGCTGGCTCCACAATAGGGCCACGGGGCCCAGATGCAAATGTTCGAAACAAGGCCCTTGCCCGCCATGACGTCGCTCTCTCGAGAGAGTTGGATGCCGCGGCGTCTCACAGAAAAGCTTCAGCCCGAATGGCTTGGCGTGTGCTCAGTTCGATTGCGGTGCAGGCGCGACACTACAAAGCCAGCAATGCACTGTGTCACTGTCACTTGCCAACACAAGCTACTGTATGAAACTGGCCGTTGCGCACCAAGGCCCATGCTGGTGGCACTGATGATGTCGAAGGCCTACATGTGCAACGGACTGCATGTAGCATGCAGCTGACAAGGCGTCAGCAGTACCGGCCTCGCCGATCGCAGGTCTGGGGCTTTCTCGTTGCCTCGCAACTTGGAGGAACCCTGATCTGAGATCTGTACGAACAAGAGTTGGTACTCACCCTCTCAAGAAACACAACAGTGCGGGGGACTCAGGAGACGACACAGGGCAGGGCAGGACGGCAGGCACCGCTTGACAGGTCTCAGGAGTTCGGTAGACTTCGCCAGGACATGCCAGGACCCTTGGTTTCACCCCTTGTCCTTGCGACTTTACAAGCATCACAGCATCACTACTATCCGTCCCCACAGCCTACAGGAGCCGGATGAACTAGCAAACGGCTGTAATTATCCCGGTAATCAGGCACGAAGATGATTCCTTGATGCGTCCCCTACCCCCGCCTTCCTGCCGCTCCGGCAGCTTGGGAAATCGGGACTCTGCTACATGCCCGAGTTCCACCACTACGTGGGGATCAAGGCTAGCTGGACAAGCACTGGCACCAGTATCTTTACTGCATCAACTTGCGGCAGGAGGCATGGGCTCTTGGAGGATCATGGGGCTCAGCAAATACAGTTACCGTAAGGATGACTATACCTTCAAGTGTCAAGTCGTGTTTCCCCTCGGCCTGACAAATCCTAGGTTCGTCTGAATCATCACTTCTTCCTGTTTCAGCCTTTTACTTGTTCCCGGTCTTGCCGGTCTTGACCTCGGAGCTCCCCTCTTTGGGTGGGGTCGAGCGCGGGGCCTTTCCGCTGTTCATCTGCATACTCCACTATACTGGTTTGCGAGTTTTGGCTCTGGTCATGCTCCGCCGTGCTAGCCACGTGGTCAGCGAAGATAAGGAGAAAGTAAGGGGATCTGACTGACCTCCTGAGCAATTTTCAGCCACAGACTGCGCTGCACTCTTTGAACATGACGCGGGGGTGGGCACCTCGCCCGCCGGGCTGTCGTTGAGTTCTAGATGTCCAGGTGGAAGACACGTCCTCTGTGTCGAATCAGAGGCACTCGGCGTGCAAAGATCTACTCGACTGCATGGGAGTCTGCGCTTGTTTGATTTAGTGCTGAAGAGAGTGCCAAGCAAGAAGGGAAGTTTTGCGTGCCATCATGCTGAGTGCAAACAAGGCAGCACACCGCGGCAGCTTAGCACGAGACATGGTGCACAGCAGGTGCTGCAATGTGACGTCCATGAGCTTGTGGAGACCTGCTGGATTACTGTCGACCGTGGGTGTTACTTACTCTTCAAAGGTTGTCAAAACCTGGCTTTCCCGCATCCCTTTCCAAGACACTACAAACCTGCTCACATCGCCAACTTCTACAAACGGAAAACTGATTGGAGTCTGTGCGTCCTTCGCACTCTGAGCGGGACCAGCTCCAATTTCGTGCTTTCGCGCAGGAACAAGCAAGAAGCAAATGAGCATTCAGACAGTCCGCTGCTGTAAGCTTGCTGAAGGCGCACGCTTCACCAATAAGTCCGACAGCAGTTCGAGGGTGCATGGCGACACTCCCTGCTGCATCTGGCCTGGCCTGTGTCGGCTTGGTAGTACACGGCTCCTGGCATGGCAAGGAGCGACAGGGATTTCGTGACCCTAAATCTGCCGGATCGACCCAGCTGAAGACGGAGCCATGGACTCGGAGTTCTCAATCTTGGCTTCGTCCTGGAAAAAAGTGCAGCTGACAAGAGCCAGAGATTCTCAGGAGCAGCCTCACCTTCATACACTTGAACATAGACGGAACCTGCAGCACAGACAGACACATGCGGATACATGTGTAATCAGGTGTACATACAGAAAGAGAGAGGGAGGGAGAGTCATCTCTCTCTCTCTCTCTCTATATATATATATACACATATTTATACATGTTACATATACATACATTTGTAGATGTAGGTGTGCATATTATATATATATATACACATACACATACATACACGTGGACGGACTGATGAGGAGGGCGAGCAAGGCAGCTAGACTAAGTGAGCGAGTGAATGAGTGAGTGAGGGAGGAAGGGGAGGGAGTGAGAGAGAGATAGATCATCCGGGCTGCTTCGTGGAGTCATCCAATCTGTACCGCAGCGCTGCGTTTCCTTTCACATGGATATTCTCCTAAGGCCTTGCAGCAGCAGTCAGACCCACTTAAGATCTCATACAAATCACCAAGCACAATTTCTTTGCCAGCAGACATTCGAGCCCGTAATTAATGACCAGAATCCTCGTGGGTGTTGCTGGCGGTGTGGTGCAAGACAGCCAGAGTGCTCGTGCCTACTCCTGGCCGCGCCTGAGAATGAAAGCACATCAGCTGAAGTGTTCCCGACACTGGTCCTCGCTGCAGTCGCTGGAGCCTTTTGGGGGGGGGCAGCTCAAACGGCGAGCATGGACAATGCGACGCATCAGCATCCATGATTTCCACATCGGCTTGGCTTGGCCGGGAAGGTGGTGTAATTTCTGCCGAGAACAACTGCAAGCACCGAATTGAGGAGAAGCACTAGCCGGACTCAGCTTGACGGAAGACTTGAGCGATAGGGTATTGCTCGGTGATAAGGCCCCCTGCCCGAGGTATCCGAGGCGATCTCCGTCCTTGCGGGATGCATGCTCAGCCGCCGCTAGTGCCGCTAGTGGGGTGCAACAGCATGTTGCCGATTGAACGAGATTGAGCCGTGGACAGGCTGCTCTGGCCTTTGGATCACTCAGAGACTCTGAAAACAAAGCTGGCTCATGCGAGACCCTGAGCATCCGGCAGCACAGGCTGCAAATGTGCATAGTAGGCTCCTATGCGGTAGTCAAGACTCGAGGCTAGCAGTCGAGAGCGTTTGGGTGAGACCCTGGGCGAACTCCTCTTGTGGCAGGAGCTGCGCCTGTAAGCACTGCAAGGCAAACAACTGTTGCATCCTGCCAACTGACCATGCGAAGAAGGAGGGCTCTGCCTTCAGGTACTCCTGAGCTGCATCCATGACGAACCTCGGGACGAGCTCAAGATGGCACAGCTCGCAGGAACCTGCGAGACTGCGTGAGGGCCATGAGGGCAAACCGAGGTGCGTCCCGCAACTCCAGGGCCGGCAGATGCTTGAGGCGATGATGTGCCCTACGTTGGAGCCAGACATGGCAAGCATTGTAAGGGCTCATCACCTATCGGGGTCTTTCCGTGAAAAAACGCAAGGGAGGCCGGACCCTAATCACCGCGGCGAGCTGCCAATGTTGCTTCTGTTGCTTCCCTCCCTCCCTTCTGCAGATGCCGGCCGTGCTACAGCAACAGACCACTCTTAACATGCTCATGGCGACCAGGCGAGAATCACCATGACGATGATTATGATGACGACGGGGGGGAGGAGAAGGAGGATCACGAGATGATCTTTGTCACCGACTCAGCACGCGGTCTGACAGCCATCTTCATGATGGCTGCGGTCACACGGCCTCTGGTGACGGTGTTCTGTGGTTGTGCTGCTGCTGATGGTGGTATGGCAAATGAAGAAGGAAGATACCATGGACGCGGCAATTATGCGAATTAGAAAGTTCATGGGTCTGGCCACGGTGGTGATGATGTGGACAACTGTGTGTATTTTGCTGGTGCTGCTGTAGACTGTAGACGACAGATTCAGGATTGTGGCGATGATGACCATCAGCGCGCCGGCGACGATTAATTGTGATGAGGACGAATACAAACTTCGGGACTACTATGTTGCTGGTTACGACTGCGAGCCATACTGCTGCTGAGGGTGGGGATCAAGCTCTTTGACATGCTCGTCAGGGACTCCGTTTCTCGTCCAGTGCCCCGGTAGTGAAAGTTAGTGGACTACCTGACCAGGAAGGCTGCCAGACATGCTGCAATGCTACACTGCTACATAAGTCTGTCTCTAAAGGAAGTCCTCGGTTTCTGCAGTAGGAGAAGAGAACACAGAGAGCCCCACCTCGGCCTTGAGATGGAAGCCATGCCCGTCTGCCTCTGGTTGGGCTCATACGTTACCGAAGCTTTGCAGGAGCCGGACACATTTTCCAGTATCCTGTGGCTGGTAGGTCTTGGATCCTGGACCACGTAGCAGTCGCATCTCTCGGCATACTCCATGTGCATCCAGTCTATCTTGATCTTGCCGCTGCAGTCGTGCACTAGCTTCGCCCTTTCCAGCCCGGCACCACCGAAGCGCACCCCTCACAAGACTCCGCCTGTGACTCTGCTCAGGCTGAAGTCATCGAAGGCCTTCCCTGTTATAGCCTCCCCGGCTCGCTGACAGGTGTTGATGTCATTGGCAGTCCTGCGCAACGGTTCCGCCGGGCAATCCTTCCATCCTGCCGTTGCGATTCCAGGCCATGGTCGGGACTGGAACACCCCCTTTACTTTTTGGGAGATGAGGCTGGGCACTTGTCCTCCGCTGCCTGTCGTGACTGCCGATCAGCTCGCGTATAGTGGGCGTGCAGAAGCACATGTTTGGTGGAGCCATAAAGGACGGTCGGGGCGAATTTGCTTTAAGGTGGCTCACGTACAAGCCGGTATTGGCGGTATCGGAGCGAGCATCTTGTTGGTGGACCCCTGTTGTCCACTGGCGACTTGCAGCAACGGACATCTTCACCGAGCGCTTCTTCGTTCGCAACAAAGCAGGTCGCACACCCTCCCCTCCACTGGCATTCCAAATGCGACAAGGGCGTATTTAGCAAGCAAGCTTGGCAAAATGTGACCGTGGACTTGTGACGCTCATCACTCAGCTGAAGATACAACCGCAGCAGCTGCTACTGGATTGTACTGATGGGCTGGAAGTCTACTCTAAGAAGAAGGCTTGATGCACATGGCTTGTGGTGCATGCCGTGTAACAGCAGGCTCTCCCTTCTTGCCAGTGGGCTCAACGCTAGCACGAACGTTGCAGTTCTGATCAGTGATTTGCGCCGGTGCACCCGGGTCTTGGAACTTGGGTAACGGTCACTCGTGTTGCTGCTGCACTCTCGGGCTGGAGCCACAGGTGCGAACAGAAACAAGGCAGCCGAGGTGCTGTACAAACCTTTCACAGGGTCACGTGCCACGTGTTACACAGATTCAGTGCCGCAGGAGAGAGATGGTATTTTCAATGCTGCTAGTCTGAAACAGCCCCAACAGCAGCCGTTGCCAGAACAGCCTCATAAAACCATCTTCCTCTCGCGGGACACCGGACCCCGGTGCTACGACGGTGCGCACTCGTCTGGTGCACAGAAGACATTCACCAAGAGGAGGTCACTGACCCCAGTATCACCCCTCAGACCGAGCCTCGTCATCCGAGCACACCTTTACTCCTAAGCCCCTGGAACACCTCTAGTATAAAGGAACTCGTAGCCTCGGCCCCGGCTGCATCTAGCTGCCATCGTCACTCTCGAGACTCACTTCTCCACTTCCCACTCTTGCAGCTGTTGCTGCCCTGGCGTGTACTGAAGACATCTCTAGCCAGATGCAGCGTTTGCAAGTCAAGCACGGCACCACAGCTCACAACACATCACAGTCTCGCTTCTGGCCTCTGCAAAACGATGTTCTTCGAAAGGGCAAGCTCATCTTACCTGGGCTAGATCCTCCGGCAGCTCCACTGACGCTCGATTCAACCACGGCATTTTGGAGGTGTGGCGGAAGTTTGGACCAGCGATCATCAACAGGGCAATGCTTCCAGACTGGCTAAGCGTATCAAAGCGTGCTGGCGATGGACATCGGCAGCTTTCGGTTTGCGCTACGCGAGCATGAACCACAAGTCAACCGCCCTTTTCAGGTTGCTCCTGCATCGATGCATCCTGCATTTTCCGGTAAGAGACCATCCTGGGCGCGAGGCAGCAATGAAGCAGGCGCGTCGGCGTGCTAGCCGTTAGCTCGTGACTGTCTGCGGACTTGGTCTGATTCTGATTACAGAACTCTTGGCGTGTGTGACATCTCCGCACACACGAGAGCATAAGCTGCGCCTTCGAGAGCACGTATGCTTGGCTGCACCGATTTGCAAATCGGCATGTTTGGGACAAAATCTGCGCGGCAAGGTTATGTATTCTGTCCCAGTGGGTGGGGCTTTAATCTGCTACTGGTAGGTATTACGTACGAAGGACCAGGACTTCCTGTCCCAGGTGCTCATCGTCGGTGAGAAGACACTTGTCCAGCATGCTGCGGATTGCAGCCTGGGTCGCAAAGATCAAGGCATCGACGTTCAACATGCCAGTTGTCCCAGCCTCGTCCAGGTGCCGACCAATGAAGACGAGCTCCTGACGACGGTCACACCACTCATCATCCCAGTCCTGGCAAGGCGAAGTGGACAGCGAATGATTTGTTTTCTCACCCGCCCAGCTGACCGTGTCGCACCGCAGGGATCCGAAGAGCAAAAGGTCGTGGGGGAGACGCAAGGTAGACCACATTCTTCTCCGCTTTCAACACAACAGCACATACCAACCGGTGCAGAGGAGAAGAATGTAGTCCTGTCGGATCTCCGAGCCCCCACTAGCCCGAACGCAAACCTGACTTGCCCAGGAGTGCATACTATATCTCGCAAGGCCTAAGGTTTGCCACTGACGAGGAGAGGTTGAGGTATTACGAGACACACAAGTTCAAGGCAAATATAACCAGGCCACGGTATGAAACAACGATGCAGCGAATTATTGAGATATGGACTTCGCCTGAAGACTGGCCCCTTTTGAGGACAAGAAGGCCTCACGACGAGCCCTGTCGTACTCCCCGGTTGCCATCTTCTGCATGAGCTTGAGCTGTGCAGAGGCGAAGCAAGTAAATTGAGATGGAATCACTGCTTGCTATCAGTACATAGCCACGCCCGTCAGGATGAAGTAGTGTGCTAGTGAACCCCCGTGTCAACCGCACATGCCCAAGCGCAGCGGGACTTGGGTGTCGCCTGATCTTGTGTCATCGCGCCCCACCAAAGACCATTGTAGGTAAGCTGCATGTCCTTGCCAGCCTCCGAACGCTGCGCGACACCGACGCATGGAACGGCTGAAAAGATGTGCCTAACACTGACTGCAAGAGTTTGCGAGCCTAGCTGGCGAACTGCCTGCTCGTGCGAATGTGCCATCGCACCCTTAAACTATAGGAGGCCAATGTAGGATCACTCATGTAAGCTCAAGTGCACATGACAACAGAATCGCCCATGTTTCACCAATACAAAGAGGTCGTGTTGTCCGAAGAAAGACGTTTGGTGCGTTTCGAGTTTCTGGAATGGGACACCCGCGAAACTGCACAAAGGGCCATAGTTACTCAGAACAGCCCCAGATTGCAGGCAAGTGGCCTGGCTCCAGTAGACCCGGGTAGCCGGCTGGGTTTCCAACCAGCAGAAGCCCTTCGAGCGAATGACTTTGCGCCTTAGGCGTTTGCAGTGTTGGCGCTTGTCTTGGAATGCCAGAAGGCCAGAACCAGAAGCTTCAGAAATCTTCAGATCAGAGTAGCTGGAAGGATTTATGCGGGGATTGCTCATGCACGGTCTAGCGCAAGGGTCGAATCGATTGCGCAACACTCCAGCCAACAACAGCATGGCACCACCATTGACAGCCACAGTGCGATTCTCGTACAGCCGCTGCAGTGCTGCGGCCAAGGCACAGAGGGTGACCAGGATTGGTTTCTGTATCATCAAGCATGAGCTTCAGGTCGCTGTGTTTTGGAATCGGCCACTTTTGCAGGGCCTCAGCTTTCGCGACATGGCGACTCCCCTGCCGTTCAACGCCTCTTCTGCGAGGACCCGCCTCCGTGAAGCGCTGTTCGCTGAGAGGCCGCCGTGCTCTGTAGGTGAAGGAAGTAATCCCAAACCGATCCTGCGTCTCTCTTGGCGCATCTACCAATAGTAAGAATAGTGATGGTAATCATGATAATGATATTTTTGTAGCTCACTTGGATAATGATATTAGTAGTAGTAATGGTAAAACCCATAATAATGGTAGCAATAGTGGTAATAATACTAAGAATAAGAACACTAACAATAACACGACTAACAATATCATTAATCATCATAATAGTAGTAATAAAAGGAAGAAGAAACAAACACTAAACAATTTAATAAACAAGAATCAGAAAAAACAATAAAAGCAACAATGCTAACATTAATATTACCAAAGAATGATAGTAGAACAAATAACAATAACAATAACAATAGTAGTAGTAATAGTGTTCATAGTAATAGTAATAGTAATAGTAATAGTAAAAGTCATGATGATAAGAAGAGCAGTATTGTCAACACTGATCCTCATGATAATGATAAGCCTCCTACGACCTGACGCCACTCTCTCTGTCCCGTTCTTGCTGTGTGCTCCCGACAAGCTTCAGAAGATCAAGCACTTTGCAAGTCGGTCGCCTCGGCGGTCGTCGTGCTGTGACTATGAGAGTGTCCGTGATCATGACCTTGGACCAGGCCAGCAGCAATGCAAAAGTTCGGAACTTGCATGGCAGTGCGCGGCGCATTCGCTAGAGGCTGTCATGTCGCACGAACACTACGAGACACAGTACTTTCCTGCTTTCGGATGCCTCCTTGCGTTCCTTGTGCTATTTCCAACACTGCGATCAGAAATGTGCGCTGGGCCTTGTTCTGTTGCCGAAGTACTGAAGGCACCGATTTCTCTAGCTGGGGCCAGGGCCGTGGCTGTGGTCCGTGCAATCCGGATCGCCTGAGCAGTCAATAGAGTTTGAGGAGGTTGCGCAACGGAAGCAAACGGCTCAATTAGTCGAAACTGTAACCTCGACCAAGCCGAGCAGCTGCAGTCATCCGCATGGCTGTGGCTGTGGCCATGACTGGCATCGCTGCACCCTGGCTCGCTGCAGTCGCTAGCGTGGCTGTGGGCCTGGCTGTGCTCCTCAAGAAACGAAAATAGTTTGTGCAGGTCATCAAGACGTGCCAGCGGGCCAGCAGCTGGCCGCTGCCCTAACAACAGCACATGCCGATTCCCAATGTACTCTTGCAGTCCGACATGCTTTTGTATTGAAATATTGTCTGCCACGCCGTGACGGCTGCAATCCCGAGCACTGAATGCATCTCATGCTCCTCTTCGTGGCCATGGCCATGCTCTGCATGCGTGTCGTCATGGTGGCCTGCAGAATGGAGAGTGGGGTCTGGGGGAATCGACGGTGAAAGCTCATATCATTCCTCGACAATCGGATGGAAAACGAGACTCAAGAGGACCGGGCCAGGCTGGCCCATCGGCTTCTAACCTAGTCGTCAAGACGTCTACCCGTCTACCCTCACCATCGAATCCAGAATTGGATCTGGAACAATGGAGAGACCAGAGCGAATTGCGACAACTAGGATCGAGGGAGCGAGAAATACCGAGAGTCAGGTCCAGCTTCCTGGCTACAGGATGTGGACCGGCTTGAATGACAGCACGACACTTATAGCTATCAATCAATCTGTACATACATATACATATACATATATATATATATATATGTTTGTGTGTGTATGTGTATGTGTGTGTGTGTTTATATGTATGTGTATATGGTAACTTTTATGTATAAGTAGAAGTAAAAGGATCTGATTAACTAAGCCGTCAAGTCATGCAGTATTTTTCATGCATGCGTTCATTGGTTTTATCATTACTTCGCATGAGGTACTGTGTTTGTAGTATATACATGTATACAGATGCATGGAATATATATGGTGCCGCCTGGTCTTCGTTGGGCTGGACAGGTGACTGTGGGTGGCCCCCTGCTGTGTGTATCAGTTGATTTGACCTGTAAAAGCAAAGTTACTGGCACAACATGCTTTAAAAATGCAACTGCGCACACACACACACATATATATATATACACATACACATACACATGCACATGCACATGCACATGCACATGCACATGAACATGCACATGCGCATACACATACGCATACACATGCATGCATGCATACATACATATATACATTGTGTATGGCTGTGTATACGTACACACACATATGCATACATACATACATACATACATACATGCATACATACGTACATACACACATAAATACATACATACATACAGACAGACAGCCAGGCAGGCAGGCAGGCAGACTGATAGACAGACATGCTCAAACACACGCGCACGCGCACACACACACACACATACAATATCAATATATAACTATAACTATAACTGTAAATATATTTACATAAAAATAGAAAATATATATGTATTTGTGTGTGTATATATATATATATTTGCATATGTATATACATATATATGTATATACATACATATGTACATACATACTATATGCGACCCCCCCCCCCCCCCCATCCAGAACTACCGCGAGGTGCCGCGACAGCGCCACCAATCCGCCTACGTTGAAGCTTCTGGTGTATGATCCAGGTTTTGAAGTTCCGAGGAGGCAGCACATGTATATCGTCAGAAGCCTTCATTGCGAATTCTTGTGACCCTTCGCGCAGATACTCCCAGAGATTATTTTTCCAACGATGCACAGTATCCCGAAGACTCACTCTGCCATTAGCCCTTACGTTGGCCCTCATGGTGACAGCAATCTTCTATTTCATGTTCACTTAACGTCTTAGCCCATATGGATTAACATGCTATGTCGACTGAACCCTATTATACAGTATACATTAGTTTTTGAACTCCCATATCGACATGAAGGTGAATCTAATAACATACACCAGCCTGATGGGATGTTGGCTATGACTCCAAGATGGACCTTACGGCACACTTAATATTACCCAGTTCGCAGTGGTGACCTTCGTACTGTACTGGATACTTTCTTGAACAGCAACCCACATGATGGCTTTAAGAGCAACCCCGACCATTGGCCTCATCAGCAGGTTAATTAATCCAGATGTAGCTGTGGACGCATTGACACGAACAGGATCCCCGGAAAAGGATCCCGGGGGCTTCGAACGGGATCTCTCGAATCAGCTCCCGGAGAGAGTGGGAAGCGGATCCCGGACCGGCCCAAGAGGCTCCCAGCCCCAAACACTACCCTGAGACTCTTTTGGGGTGCCCAACCCGGGGATCGAAGGACCTTAACACCAGTCACCGGTGCACCCCCATGGATCGTCGACTGGCCTGACTCGAAGTAAGCCCGGCACTGGTGTGACCCCGTGGATCGTCCACCGACCCGAATCCAACACGTGTTTTGATGCGGGTATGGGGACCCCACGTCCATGTTTGTGTTTTGTTACGTGACCATCGACCCCACGAGTGGCCCCATGGATCGTCGAGTGAGGTCATTCGACGATCCATGGGGTCAAAACACTGACTGATCCACGGGGTCACACCAGTGACCGGCCTTACTTCGAGTCAGATCAGTCGACGATCCATTGGGGGTACACCTGTGACTGGTGTCACGGTAGTCTTGTGGGTTGGGCACTCCAGGGAGTCTGACGATAGTCTTTGGGGCTGGGCACTCCAGCGAGTCTCACTCACGGTAATCTCTGGGGTACGGCACTCCAGGAAGTCCCAAGAGTAGTTTCGGATCCGGAACGACGTTGGGCAGGATCCTGCTTGCACCGCCCGCTGGATCCGATTCGGTTCGTACCGGGAGCTGACTCGGGGATCTGATTCAGGGAGCCGGTTCCAAGCCCGTGGGATCCTATTCGATCAACTTCCTAGCTGTGGGATCGCTAGCACGAGGATTCAAGTCCCCGAAGTTCAAAGTCATGGCATCCCTAATACGACTGAATACAGGTAAGCTAAATACTTGCCTAACATTTATTTCATCTGTAGCCGTCCCATTCATGCAGATATTCAACTACACAAAACGATACCCAGTAAGTGCCACGATCCCCCGGTCTTCGCTCCGGCGTTGCCCAAATGATGGCCCCTGGACTTGTAAGGATGACACCAGCATTTGCCTGTTTACCTCATCATATTGTATATAGCACAACCTTTCTCCTGGTAGCATATGATCATCTCCGGCTTGTTGTCGGGCTTGCCCGTATGCGTGTATGTACATCTGTGCGTGCATGCCAACCTGAAGGTCAAACCTGTACTAAATACCAACAAAATGACGAGGATCCCGAATTGACTCCTGATTCCACACAACATCAACCCTAACCCTGTCCTTGTCACTCGCCCTGACAGCAGCCCTAAGGCCATCCATAGTAGGCTTCTGACCACCCCTAATCTGACCCTGATGTTCCCCTTATTCAAGTTACAACCTTACTCAGCAGCTAGATGAGATCGTAGTAGTAACTGTGATAACCTTGATATCCTGGGTCCTGGTCTGTATTGAAAACTGCAGTACTAGATCCGTATTTATTTACCACGAAACTGATCCGAATACTGTCCTGGTTACTACCTATTGTACAGTATTAAGGCTAAGCGGAATCGAATCCCAATAGTAATGACACTCGACGAGCCTTATTGGCAACACTAATTCACAATGCGCTCACACACCAAAAATACACAATGTCCGCCTTGAAAAATTTGGTCTTGGAGTGAAATACCAACTATCCCTAGGAAAAGGATGGTTTTGGGCCGAACAACCAACCTATTCCTACCAAAAATGGTCGTGGACAGAAAAATCAACTTTTTCTGGGAAAAACAAGAAAAACAAACAAAAGCATCTTTTGGGAAACTAGACTCACTAGACGGCCAGACTCCAAAAAGATTGTTTTTGTTTTCACAGGGAAAACATTGGTTGCCTGCCCAAAACATTTTTCCTAGGGAAAACTGTGTTTTTGCACCGACAACCAACTTTTTCCCATGGACAACCCAAAAAAATATGTTTTTGGCATCTGACCGTATGGTTTTCCAAAAGATTGTATGTTTTTTAATTTTCGTTTTCCCTAGGAAGAAGTTGGTTTTCGGCCCAGAACCATCTTCTTTTTAGGAAATAGTTGCTTTTTTTGCCCAAAACCATCCTTTTCCCAAAACAATTTGGTTTTTGCAGCAGCACCCAAAGCCAACGTTTTCCTAGAGAAAGCAAAAAATCATATTTTGGGAGTCTGGCCGTATAGTGCCCCAAAAAATGCTTTTGTTTGGGTTTTTGTTTTCCTTAGGAAAAGTTGCGTTTTAATTGGAAGAGTACAATGTTGCCGTTAAGTGCGTGCTTACGTCGACCCTAAACGAGTTGCTTGGCGGCTGGTTTTTGATTGGAAGAGTACAGTGTTGCCGTTGAGAGCGTGCTCACGTCGAATCTGAACGAGTTGCCTGGCGCATTCTCTTGAAATGTGAGTTTGGTTTTGGCAGTCTTCCAGAGATACAGAATCCGGACCTGCCGGAAAAGCTGGTTTAACACGGTTTACGATACAAAACGAGGATCGGTAGTTCATGGGGGGGGGTTACCATATAAATAAATAAATAAGTAAATAAATAAATAAATAAACACAAACATTTACATATGTATATATATAGAGAGAGAGAGAAAGGGGCACACATACGCAGAAGCCTTCGTGGCCATGCTCTTCGTGAGCATGATCGCAATGATCATGTCTGGCTTCCTCAGGCCCTTCGGCCATTCAACAAAATCAGTACAGAACGCGATGGCTGGCGAACAGAAACCCCCCCAGTTTTGATTTGATCGCGGTCTCGGCCCAGCGTCTGAATGATCTTCAGCGAGCACGTCCTGGAGTGTGACTTTGCCAAAGGTGGTCTCGATGATTCTGGCCTCCCGGGCTCAAGCGACCTAGAATCCTGACCTTCGCATGACCCTGCCTTCTTGTTGATTGCCTTCACTACCTCGCGTGTTAAATCGAGTTGCTCCTGGCCGCTTCGTAAGACATGCCGAATGCCCCCGCTACAGCAGCAGTCATGCTGCCTCTTGTGGCATTGAAGCCGCTTGCGACATGATGACAGTGGACTTTGCTTTGCCAGGTCCTTTGTCGCCATGTCCGTCTTGTTCAGGATGACGATGTCAGCAGCCTGGCAAGATGTGTCTCTCGAACTGGCACTGATTGCGACAAAAGCTTTCCCTGAATTCCGCCCCTGACAGTGTACCACAACTGGCATGCTTCCATACTTGGATAGCGCATCTCTGTGCGAGGCGTCCTGGCATCTGTACTGAAACAAAGGTCACCCTGTGCCTAAGCAAATCCTATTATTGATGCTCCCAACCTGTGCATGGAGAAGCCAGAAGATAAACAAAAAGCCACAACTGTTCATGGTGTCCGAGATCCAGGAGACTCGAAGCACACAGAGAGCATGCAACAGACTGCCCAAGAGCATTCCAGACGTAGTCCAGCAGCCCCGTGCCCCAAAGCACTCAAAGGACGAGGCGCAACGGAAATCAGGCCGCAACGCCCCAGTTGAATCTTCCAGCTGAATCGCTAACGTGCGGCTACAGCTGGCGAGAAGAGCGGCGTCTTGTTGAGCAGGTTGCTCTACAAGTTTGACCATGCACTGAAAAAATCCAGCAGCGCGGGACATGTCAAGTCAAACCTTGGGGACTCCGGGCCTCCGTCTGCTCAACTAACAGCTCGACCACTGCCACCTCGGCCATCTCCTTGTTGCAGGGCTTATTTCGAGCAAGATCGAACAAGCGTAGCACGACCACCGCTATCTCTGGGCTCTGACCGGATCTGCAGAGTCGAGCTGCCCCCACGTCGCCATCCATCAAATCTTCTCGCTCATACAATCGCGAGTACTCCATGTACTCCTGCCGTGAATGCTTGAGAGTCATCATGCATCTTTAAGCCCAGACGTCATGAGACGAAAGGCTGTGCCGAACAAGCATACATCAGTTTGGCAGTGAGTTCCATTCCTAGATGCTGTCAGGCATGGCCACGCTGCCTCGCAGAAAGTTGAGGCATCAAGCACTGTGACAACTTGGCCCAACTCCACGCCATTCACCACATAATACCTGCGCCGGCCGTCTCCAGAGAAAAGTCGTACATGAACCGATCGAACCCGTCACTGCCACTCACCAACTTAGAGGAGTCACCCGGCTTCCCTAGCGGAGGCAAAGTTCTCGCAAACGCGCGCCGGCTCTGCGACCCCACTCCTCATGGGCATCCATCGACGTATCCAAGGTCTGTCATGCATGCAATGTCCACAATGTCCGCCCTGCATGAATGTCTTAATGTACGCATGCATGTACATATGTATGTACGTGCCTAGGTATGTATGCATGAGACTGAATGAGACACATTCGTCTCGGCCCCGAAGAGATCAGAAGAGTTTCCCTCTTTGCACTGGGCTGGTAGGGGTTCCGGAGACTACTCTTCAACGGATTTCAGCGGCGACCGGGCCGAGGCGGACGACGTGAAGCATTTAGGCCTATGGATGCAAAGGATGCAACATGCGTCTTGAAAAACAGTCTCTATACGTGTGTGTGTATAGATACGCATACATGGCTAACCTGTCCTGCTCGATGTCATGCAGGGTAGCCCAATTCGGCGCAGCACCGCGGAGATTTTGTAGTTTCTAGGCACTATACCCCAAGCCACCGATTCAAACCCACAACATCTTGCATCCCAGGAGCAGCTCCACAACAATCTGTTTGAAGGGTCTTTCCTGCGTTCGACACAGATGGGGAGAACTGCGAAGACAACGGTGATCGCAGGTCTTCTACGCATGTCGTCTCTGGCTCGACGACTCGACGGTCCCCGCCGGAGAGTTCGATCAAATCAGAGATGTCTACCAGGAGCTCATCTCCCAATGAGCAGCAGGCACAGCCGTTCCTTTGCTCGCATCCTACACACTTGAGCTGCGGGGCTCCAAGGCTGCTCCGAGGGGAGAGGACGCAACCAATCGAAAGATTCCAAACTCTGATCGAGGAGCGCCAGCTGGATAGCATTCACCTCCCCCTCTGCATTGTACGACTGCTGCTGCACCTTAGCCAAAGGCCGCTGAGCGGCCAGCGGCATCGAGAACTTCAGCTCGAGACGTGCTGGGCCCAGGACAAGCTTCGAGTCGATGTTGACGGAAGCAACATCGTTTACCACGATGCCTCATGGCTGAACGGCAGCACTAGGCCACCACTCCATTCGCTAGAATGCGCGCGAAATTCGACTCTCATGACTCATGACAGCTTGCTGCAGCAGAAGTGGGAGAACGTACCCAGAGCATGATGAACCAGCAGCCTGTCATCTGAAAGCCATGTCGTCATGGCTTCCAGCTGCATCCAGCTGCCCCTGCGCCCTGCAGGAAGGCTTTTGCTGACGAAGTGCCAACGCGATCCGTTGTGTTCTCCAGCCAGTGCCGCAGCAAAGTGGTTTTCCCTGTGCCCAAAAAGCCGCTCAGCAGAATCACAGGTACCTTGGTGGTTTGACTCTCTTAAACTGAGAGCAGGCCATGCGTATGTTTGCACCTGGGTCTGCGCATTCTCATTTGACTCAGTGATCATAATACCGACACCCAGCAAGAAAAGGGAACACTGTCCCGGAAGACTGAATCAAGGCCTTAAGTGGCACACACCAAAGAGATCCCCGACAGGGATTGCAGTTTGCCAGGGCTGAGTTTAATGGGATCCCTGGCTGCACGTGGGCTCTGCAAGATCATGTGGGTGCGAGATGGGCCAGATTCCGCTGGCACCGACGCCGACCCCCCATGCTGCCCTTTCTGCGTATCTCTCGAGGCTTCTCCGAGTTCAGGTCTTCTGTAGTTGATATTATACAAGAACAGCGACAAAACAACAATAGTAGCGATAACAGTAAGAAGAAGACTAACAAAAAAAGATAACAATAAAACAAATACAAAACTAGTAAAACTACAGTACTAACACGAACATTAATGCCATTAGCAACACTAATAATAATGATAGTAGTATTAGTAATTATCTCAGTCATTCTATTTCTCTGGGCTGGAGTGTCACTGCCGCTCTGAGTGGCTGCTGAGGAGCGCGTTCCGGTGCTGCAGTCTCGGTCGCAGTAGCTGGCCGTGCAAGTGACACCTGGCACCTTCGAAAAGATTTCGAAAGCTTGCTGCCCAGGACGCGCTTACTGTTCTTACCTTCCAGTATCACCATTTATTAGCCAGACATGGGTTCGGAGTGAATGTGATGCTTGCATGGCCGAGGACATCTACCGATTCACGCGCATGAGAGAGACTACTATTACGCAAGGCACGACTTGCTGCCTACACTTGAGATTCCACTCCGGCATGATCTATACTAGGTCTGTGCGCTTGATACTTCTCTGTGACTTTGTGGCGGGCTCAAGCATTACTATGTGGAGTGAACTTGTTGAGCGATCCAATCGAGCCCTTGACAACAACATTTCCTGCTTGAGACCCCCTCTCTTACCCAGGATAGCACTTGCCCTCCTTGTTTTGATGTTCCGGAGTAATCCATAGATCTTCTCGAGTGATCCATTTTCTTACTGCTGCTAAGCAGGCGAATATGTCTCACAACATGTCGTGCCGCACATCGCAGATGCTTCGACTTGCCTCCTCCATCTGCGCCGACTCTGCCGAAGGGCCGAGCAGCCGGCAGCAAGGAAGGCCGTCGCTGTTGCAGCAGCGAGAGCCCCTCAGAAGGTAGTTCTCAATGGGAATTCCGGAGTCCCAACACACCATGCCGTGCCTCGACCTTGGGCAGGAGGCGTGGCGAGGCATCTGCGTGACAACTGTCAGGGCAACAAGGGAGGCATGATCGACTCCTGCAGCACCTACAGTAGATATTGCTAAATGTTTCCTGCATTTCGTATGCCTTTGTAGTTGTTAGTCTCAGAATTGTCTCGTGCTTGCGCTTTCTTTGACTGATGCCGTCGGAAAACTTGAGGCGGTGTCAGTGTTGAAGGGTTGTTTAGAGCTTGGCAGCTTGGCGCTGAACACCTGCAGATCCCTGATAAACTCAGTCTATTGGCGCGTAGATTTGCCAACGGGCACCTACTTGGCTAGAATGATAGAATAGAGTCGAGAAAGGGGCAGCTTTGTGCTTTTTCTGAGCACACGAACCTCCGAGCGAGGATGGAGGGGAGTCCTGGGGGTTCCGATCGGCTTTTGTCTTACTTTGTTCCAGCTTTCATTTTGCTGTTTAGATTCTTGTCTTTTCTCCTGTGTTCAATCACTCTTCCCTTTTTGCTGTCAGGTAATGGTTCTGGCGCGCACTGCTCCAGTCGATGACTTCTGGAAAAGCTGCGATGCACTAACCGCTGTAACCTCGCAAGGTGGACTTCCTGTCCACGGAGTACCAGTGTCCCAGAACCACACAAGCCAGGCCTGCGCGCTTTGACCAGCAGCCCGTCTTTGAGCTGGCCGAAGTATGCGGAAGCCTCCAGGTTCAATGGCATCACTCGGAGCGCGTGCGAATCTGCAGCGCCGGCTAAGCAGCGCCAACAAAACCGCGTGAAGCTGGCCAGTGCTCACAGTGCGTGCCCTGCCTGCCGCTTCCATTGGGCTGGCGGTCAGCACAAAGGCGTGCATACTCTACCAACACAAAACTGCACCCCCTCGGACTGAAACGCTGCAGAAAGGTACACACAGCATTCACATGCCTGCTGCAGTCTCGTATTCACCAGGCAACCCGTCGCCGGCGCTTCATTCGCTCCGATTTTTTGCTTGCTCTCGATGCCGTTTGCAGAGAAGCGCATTCTGCGCAGTCTAGATGCAAGAGACCTCGAAGCCGAGAAAGCACCATAGGTCACGATTTAGCTGGCCTGCAGGCGTGCACAGCCCAAGATGCGATGGCGCCAGGAAACAACAAGATTTCTGCGTCCTGAGAAGCAGCTGGCAGCTGAGCTGCATGCAAGCCATTTGCGGCTGAATGCCAACTGCAGGCCCCGCAACTACAGCGACATTAAATCAGAAATTTGTGAAGGAGACCCTGTCATGAAATGACTTCTTGAAGAAGTCGGGTGTCCAGCCCTCTGGGAGAGGTGAGAGAACTGCGCTGCCTTCTTTTGGTACTGCTTCAGTTGGGCACTGGGCAACTTCTGCCCCACGTTCTACGGGTAACCTTCTCTCATGGAGCTACGTGTAAGCTATCATGGCAGCGCAGACCTTGCGTGCAGCGTATCACGGCAAGTGACCAAGCTGAGAATCCAGACTTGCATCCTGGTTTGCAGTGCAGCCGCACAGGCTGCCGAAGCAAGTCGAGATTAAATGTTTGCAACCACGGCGCTGTACACTGTACAAGAGCCTCGTCGGCAGCGTCGCGCAGTGGTTTAAATCACCTTCACACGTGGAGGTAGGACGTACCACAGATGCACGTGGAAGGGAGCTGGGGGATCATGTCGTAGCATGCAACACGCAGGACTCCCAATCACGAAGCATTAGGCTCGGTTGCTCTTGAAAAGCATGAAGTCGACAGGCTCCGACCAGACTCGATGCAGCATCCACGGGAGCTGCGCAAAGACAGGCACAAGACTGGACGCAAACAATTAATCAACATCTCTCAAGTGCGGCTCTTCATCCAAGTACGTTTCGGTCAGGCTTGGAAGCACTCTCTCAGTCGGCCATGGTCTAGCTACCACTGTGGTCAGACGAGCTGCTGGATCGCGCACAAAGCCAGGGCACCCAGACCTGGTTACTGACTGGATCCGACTGGGCTCTTCCCGAATGTCGAAGACTATTGCTGGACGATCAAAATAACTACCAGCAGCGGATCATCACCTCCGGGGCAAAGCAATCAAGATTCCAGACTCTGGCGTCTCCAGCGCGAGCAAGAGAGTGCTTGTTGGTACTCCAAACAGCCTCCCTCGGGCCATGCCTTACAGCCCTGGCATCCAACCTAAACTCTCCTCTGCGAGAGCTTGCTGCGGCATGTTGGAATCTACGCTTGTGCTTCGGCCAAACAGGCAGAGTGCCCATGTACGAAGAACTTGGTATACAGAAAACGCCACATGTGAGGTCGAATCCTTGATTAGCCACGACACCTTCCGCCACCGTAGCTGCTTCTGCAGCTACAGCAGCATCGGCCGCCACCGCTGCTTCTGCTGCTGTCGCCCCCTGATGTCACGCGCCACTCCACCACAATTCATACACGATCACACGCTGCAGTAGCAAGTCTCAACGTCCTCGGCAGCAGCCGCGCCCCCCGCCGCCTAACAAGGGCAGAAACACCCAAGAAAGTGTGCAAGACTTGCAGCATGCGCTGCAAGTCCGGTGCTGCACTCGCCCTCACTAAGTTCACCACGGTATCAGCGGCAACTGCACCTTCTGCACCCATTGCTCCATCTGCCGCCACACCTGCCTGGCAAAAGACGGGACACCGGAGCACGCGTAGCATGCAAAACGTCCACCTGGAAGGAGAAATCCGGGCTTCGGGCGGCTTCGGGGTAGACTTGACGATTCCAAGGGCATTCACCCCTGCTGGAGAATAGCAAGTGCCTTCCGTCTTCTAGAGCACTAGGCGAAAAAGCCTTCTCCGTCAGCCTCCATGCTCAAACAATTGATCAGCAAAGCTGGCAGAAGGACTCCTGAGGTCATACTGCACATGTCAGCAACCCTGAAGCCCTGGCGAGCCCGGCGGAGTTGGCAGAAGTAAGTACACTTGTAGCTGTGGTCATGTCTAGGCTGGCCGTGGAAGATGACTTCACCGTCATCCCGCGCAAGCCCCTTCATGAAGCAACGGCGGGCACCTCCAAAGCTGCTCCACCTGCCAGTGTACCTGAACCCATAACTTTCCCGACATTCTGATGTCGTGTCCAAACATGGATAGGAGCATTGTGGATGATTCTAGCAGACGGTGGTAGAACGTGATAAAGATGTAGATGAGGACTCGTCTCTTCTTCTAGAAGGCCCTCAGTGGGTGAGATCGTTTTGCTGCAGTTGGCTCCGTGCAACCTTCCAGGCTTCCCTTGCAATGGCCTTCGGCGGCTACAGTAGCTTCGGTAAAACCGGCAGCGGTGGCCCCGCCAATCGCTGCCGTTGCAGCCTGGGCGCGCCGGCGGGGGACAGGGGGGGTGGGGGCCTACCCCCAGGTCTGGAAAGCCTTCTGGTCTTTCTTGTGCTGGCTGCTTTGGCTTAGATGGCAGAGGGCTTAGACGGCGCCCCACGTGAGGTGTTGGGAAAGACTCCGTGGCAAATCTGCTACATTGAACAGATTATGATGGATCAGATGGGGGATGACAGGACTTGCACCTTCTGCTATTGAGCTCGACAAGGCTCCGTCACATCGATGCATCCGGACAGCGCGAACGCAACCGCACTCATAAAGGCCTGAAGGCCGAAGAGGGGCACTCGCGAACTAACAGTAGAACAACTGCAACATCAACAGCGGAAGCAACCGCAAGCGAGCAGGAGTATGCAACTAATGCAACTTCCTGCTGGCAGCTGCTTCTGCTAAATATCGTTTCAAAGCCAAGTGCATCCCAGCCATAGCGACCTTACTACAGCAACCTGGTCCTGCACCCAATTCGTCCGCTTGGATTGCAGGCGTGGCATGCAAGTCCGGTCCCAGTGGCTGACATGATGCAGGTGCCCAAAGAAAGCATGCCCGACAGGATGATGCTGCGGGAACATGGGCAACACCTGCGGTCGCAACATCGGGCTCAAAAAATGTAGAAACCCAGCTGGCCGGGGGGGCCTTGTACAGGAGACCAGAACTAAACCACTGCGCTTGACTATCCTAAGGCCGTGATGCCATGTTGAAACGGTCAACTCCGGAAGAGCCCGAGGATCACCCTGTACACTCCTTTCTGGTATCGAACATCTGAACATACGCCACGGCACAGCAGGAACAGCGCCAGGAAGCTGACGCCATACCAAAGCTTCTGTTCCAGAGCCATCTGTCCAAATATCCCTGCAGATGCCCACTACAGGAAGAACAATCGTTGCGCACAGCAGTAGTCGAAAGAGCTACCGAGAGAGAGGGCCATTTCACACAAAGGGTCGCCAGCCTGCGAGGCACACGCCTCGACAAGCTGGGGAGCCTAGGCCTAGACTCACACGGTTTGCCTCCTTCCGCGCTTTCTCCTTTGGCTGCCATCGTAGGCAGACCGAATTCGTGGTAGGTGAAGGCCCACCACCCGAGTAACAGCAGCAACCAAGCAAGGACCTCAGCCACTTCAGCACCATCTGCGGGGAGCGGTGGAAAAAACTGCACGTGAAATTCCCAAAGCATGAGTATGAGTGCTATGGCTGGGTCGACACCGCCAGGCTTTCTTTGGAGCAGGGACTGTAACGCAGTAACATGCCTAATTCTTTCATGTGAACACCGGGGATGCATTCTGACACGTATCTCTTACTTGTAGCACTGTAGACGGCAGATATGACTTCCGTCATGCCGCTAGCATCCTCAAGAAGCCTCTTTCTTTCCGCAGGCAACAAGAAGCCTCTCCTTCTCTCGCACTCCCGAGGCTCGGGGAAAGACCATTCCTGTCAGAAAGTCCGAACTTAAGAAAAACTTCATCATCAATCTTGACGAAGGTCAACACAACTCGGAGCTCAAATGGTCATGCCGGATCAAACCCTCTATTGCAACCCTTGGTGCTTGTTGTTCTATACCCACGGGCTTCGTAATTCTGGCTGTTGCAGTCTATGCTTGCCGGAACCGTCATTTGCGGTGTCGCGTAGCCTGGGTCTGAT